AGTTCGAGACCAGCCCAGCCTGACCAACATGGAGAAACCCCCTCTCTACTAAAAATACAAAAATTAGCTGGGCGTGGTGGCGCATGCCTGTAATTCCAGCTACTCAAGAGGCTGAAGCAGGAGAAGCGCTTGAACCCAGGAGACGGGATGTTGCAGTGAGCTGAGATTGCACCATTGCACTCCAGCCTGGGCGACAAAAGCGAAACTCCGTCTCAAAAAAAAAAAAAAAAGTTTTACAAAATTTTAATTTTCTTTTTCCTTTTTTTCTGAGACAGGGTTTCTCTCTGTTGCCCAGGCTGGAGTACAGTGGTACAATCAAGGCTCAATGCAGCCTTGACCTCCCAGGCTCACTTCAGCCTCCTGAGTAACTGGTATTAGACGTGTGCCACCACCCCCAGCTAATTTTTCTAATTTGTTTGTACAGACAGGTTTCAACTCATTGCCCAGGCTGGTCTCAAACTCCTGGGCTCAACCAATGCACCCACCTTCACCTCCCAAAGTGTTGGGATTACAGGCATGAGCCACTTCGCCAGCCCAAAATTCTAATTTTCACTGGAAAGTTCCACTTCATCACTGGCAACAAATACTGACGGCTTACACTGAAGGAAAAGGTTCTCAGTTCATTCAAGAAGATGTCTGCCAAATACCCAAGTATGAACAATCACTGTTTGTCATTCATTCAAGTGAAAACAACGCGCCATGGATAAAAGCTGTTAGTTCAGTTCAATCAATCACATTCATACTTTTGCTCAACCAATGCAAGCCTCTACTCCCGGCACCTTGAGAGACAAGGCAGGTGGATCACTTGAGGTCATGAGTTCAAGACTAGCCTTGCCAACATAGTGAAAACCCCATCTCTACTAAAAATACAAAAGTTAACTGGGCATGGTGGCATGTGCACTTGTAATCCCAGCTACTTGGGAGGCTGAGGCAGGAGAATCGCTTGAACCCAGGAGATGGAAGTTGCAGTGAGCTGAGATCACCCCACTGCACTCCAGCCTGGGCAACAGAGTGAGACCCTATGTCAAAAAAAAAAAGACCTACAATCAAGAGTCCAATTTAATCAAATTTAAATGTTTTACTCTTTCATCAAGAACCACTAATGAAACTGGCTTTTTTTCACTTTGTTCTCACTGCCTTGATGTTTGCTAAAGCTTCAGCAGTTTTACCCACCATTGCTATGGCACATTGAGTGGAAATGGTGACAATACGTAAACATTACCACAAACATTAATTTTAGCCTCGGAGACCCCCTATGGTCTTGCGGACATCCTGAGAAACAGGACTCTAACCAATCCAGAACATGCTAAAAGTACACAATGTTATGTCTACAGTTTCGACCTGTGCGTGTCACCTGTGTCTGGGGAATTCCCACTCTTTCCAGACTAGCTAAGTGTCACTTTCCAATGGGTCCCTGACACACCACCTCCAGCACCACTCCCCTCCTTTAGAGATCTGTTCCCTCACTGCTTACCCTCTTTGTGACTTGCAGTATACTCAGTTACAGGATACACCCATAACCATTCTGACCCCCCATGGCAAGCCCACACTGTAATATCCTAAGCTCAATAACCACGTCTTATAATCAATTAATCCAATCAGAACCAACCAGTGAACTCTGAGATTTTGGGCAAAACAGTGACAAGAAACCTAATCACACATTGTCAGGAAACTAGTCTGACAACCTTTCCAGTCAGATCAATAAATAAAAATATTAATATTTTTCTGAAGCAATCTTTCTAAAATACAATTTACAACCTGGGCAACAGAGCAAGACCCTGTCTCTACAAAAAATAATTTTAGACCATGCACTGTGGCTCATGCCTGTAATCCCAGCACTTTGGGAAGCTGAGGCAGGTGGATCACCTGAAGTAGGGAGTTCCAGACCAGCCTGGCCAACATGGTGAAACCCGGTCTCTACCAGAAATACAAAAATTAGCCAGCTGTGGTGCTGGGCGCCTGTAATTCCAGCTACTCGGGAAGCTGAGGCAGGAGGATTGCTTGAACCCGAGGTGGAGGTTGCAGTGAACCAAGGTTGTGCCACTGCACTCCAGCTGGCGACAGAGCGAGACTCCGTCTCGAAATAATAATAATAGTTTTTAAAAGTTAGCCGGGTGTGGTGGCCTCCCCCCTGTAGTCCCAACTACTCAGGAGGCTGAGGCGGGAGGATCAATTAAGCCAGGAAGGTAGAGGCTGCTATGATTGCAGCCAGGGCAACAGAACAAGACCCCATCTCAACAACAACAACGAAAACAGCACACTTTTCGTGAATGTATAAAGACTGCTTTTTATGCTCAAACTCTTAGTCCTATTCTCTGATCTGCAGAGCATTTCAAATACCAAGCCACAGCTAGTTCTCTGGCCAATAGCAAAATGGTTGCACCACAGCAAACAGTCCAATGAGCCATTCATAGGGTTCGCCTTCATATAAATTACAAGGGGGAAAAAGAAAAGAGACGCGGATGAAGTGAAACGGCATGAAACGGGGACAAGATGAGTTAAAAACGGCTCACCTGTCATTCCAATCGTCCCCTCGACGTCTTTCATCTCTCTCGCGGGAACGGTCGTAGTCGCTCCGCTCTCTTCTGAACTTGTCCCTGCGCCTTCGATCGTACTCGTCGTCACTGTCACCCATGGCACAGTCTGAGGGGGCGTGGGGACCGGGGAGGGGCGGTCGGGATGGTGCACAAGGAGGAGCGGAGGGAGGGACCGTCCCTCGCAGGCACCTCGGCCGCCTCCCTCCCACCAGGGCCAGCCCTCCGCGGCCCCCACCATCCTGAGCCAGAAAACGCGGCTCCAACGCTTCTACGCGCCCGGAGGGTCTCCTCGCTCGCCCCCTGTTCCTCTACCAACCCAGCGGGCCCCCCCAGGCTCTCCCCCTCCCCCACCTGGGAGCTGCCGCGGCTGTTGGACTCGCGCTCTGACCGGCTAGATTTCAGGGCAACCTGGGCCGCGGGCGCGCGACGAGGACGGCGAGGAGGGCAGAGGGAGACGCGCAGCTCTTGGCGAGAGGGCCAAAAAGAGGAGAACAAAAGTGGAACAACCGAGGATGGATGGTCGCGCGCGCCACCCGCGCTGCGCCTGCGTCACTCGCACCTCCCCGGCACAAAGCTCCCCCCTCTCGCGGCCCGAACTGGAACTAACGAACGGAGCGCGACTGGCTGGGAGAGCAGGGCATGATGGGAAAGGGGCAGACTCTTGCAAGTCTCGCGCTGCTTTTTGAGACGAGAACGGCTTGAGCGTGAGGAACTACGGGAAGTCGGTTGGGCCAAGCGCTGCCTCGCGGGCGGAGGGGCTCTCTGGGCGCGGAGGGAGGGCTTCCGAGGGCCGAGGTGGACGATCGCGCGACCGCAGATGTGTCGGGAGTCTAAGCCAGTTCTCATCCAGCCGTGGTGCCCCCACGGGCCTCCTGACCTCGCCGGGGGTAGTTTCGTCCCCTTCTTGGGCAAGGCGTGGGCTTGGGAAGCGCGAGCGTTTAGGGAACAAAAGATGGAAGCGACCATTTTAAAGCATCCTCTCCCACCATTTTCTGCTCCAAAGATCCAGCCAAAATTGGGTGCCACAGTGGGCACTATCTGCAAAGTCCGTCGTTTCTGCTTTTCCTTGACAAACACGCCCCATGTTTAATTATAGGTGGCAGATAAGCAGTTTTAACCCAACTCAGTACTTGGATGAGATAGGCTGTAAATTAACGCCCTGAACGACAGAGTATGGACCGCCCGGATTCAAGTCCCCTCTCAGTGAATTGAATGTGAGACTTAATAGGAAGGCCAGCTGAGGTGCCTCACGCCTACGAACCCAGCACTTTGGGAGGCCAAGGTGGGAGGGTTGCTTGAGTCGGGAGACCTGCCTGGGCAACATGGCAAGTCCCCATTTTTACAGAATATTTAGGGCCAGGCACAGTGGCTCACACCTGTAATCCCAAACGTGGGAAGGTTGATGAGGGAAGACTTGAGCCCAAGAGTTCAGCACTAACCTGGGCAACATAGCAAGACCCCATCTCCACACAAAAAATAACTGGGCTTGGTGGGATCACCCTGTGGTCCTAGCTACTGGGTAGGCTAAGCCAAGAGGAATGTTTGAGCCCAGGAGTTCAAGGCTGCAGTGAGCCTTGATTGCACCACTGCACTCTAGCCTGGGGAACAGAGTGAGACCCTGTCTCAAAATAGATATATGTAGAAATGCTGCCTCCTCCCTGAGGAGGATTGCCAAAAACCAAAAAACGAATGAGCCAAAAAGACCCAGGTTCTACCATTTAAGAACCATGCAGTCCAGGCACAGAGTGGCTCATGGCTGTAATCCTAGCACTTTGGGAAGCCAAGGCGGGTGGATCACCTGAGGTCAGGAGTTCGAGACCAGCCTGGCCAACATAGTGAAACCCTGTCTCTACTAAAAATACAAAAATTTGCTGGACATGGTGGCGGGTGCCTATAATTCTAGCTACTTGGGAGGTTGAGACAGGAGAATCACTTGAACCCACAAGACAGAGGTTGCAGTGAGCCAAAATCACACCATTGCACTCCAACCTGGGCAACAAGAGCAAGACTCCCTCAAAAAAAAAAAAAAAAAAAAAAACCACTGGGCGCAGTGGCTCAAGCCTGTAATCAATCGCAGCACTTTGGGAGGCCGAGGCAGGTGGATCACGAGGTCAAGAGATCGAGACCATCGTGGTCAACATGGTGAAACCCCATCTCTACTAAAAAATACAAAAATTAGCTGGGCATGGTGGTGCGTGCCTATAATCCCAGCTACTCAGGAGGCTGAGGTAGGAGAATTGCCTGAATCCAGGAGGCAGAGGCTGTGGTGAGCCAAGATCACGCCATTGCACTCCAGCCTGGGTATCGAGCGAAACTCCGTCTCAAAAAAAAAAAAAAAAAAACATGCAATCTGGGGGAGTCACCTCTCAGCTCTGGCATCTTCACATGTAAAAATAGACAGTAACAGCGACTGGGCTTGTAATGGGCTCCTGGGAGAATCAGATGAGACGACAGACTGGAAAGTGTTTTGTAAACTCGAGGGACTATTATTTTGTGATTGGAGAAAGAAGCCAGCATTTGGTGACAAAGTCACACAAGTGGATGTCAGGGAGGGTGACCCATCAACTGATGGGAACTGGAACTGAGAACCCAGCAGGTACTTTTAGGAAGACTCAGCAGTCAGTGGTGACGGTGGCTGAGAGCTCCTGGATGCGCCAGGCACTGCAGGCCTTGCACAAGATGTGCCCATCCAGTGGGTAGCAACCCTGGCACTCGCCCTCAGAGGAGAGCAGCAGCCCACACTCCTGTTGAAAAAGAAGCAACAATTAGCTGGGCATAGTGGTGGGTGCCTGTAATCCCAGCTACTCCAGAGGTAGGAGAATCACTTGAACCCAGGAGGCAGAGGTTGCAGTGAGCCGAGATCACGCCATTGCACTCCAGCCTGGACAACAGAGCAAGACTCCATCTCAAAAAAAAAAGCAGATTTCTGTCAACCAGAGACCTCTGTGTTCCCCCTCCCTCATGCTCTACCCAGCACCCCAGACATTGCCAACCCCTTGCACATGCTGGGGCCCCCTGACCTCGCACTTGTAACAGCCAATGTGAAAACTTCGATCCAGAGCAACGATTCTCACTGTCTCCTCCTGACCTGGCTCGGGCATGATGGCCCCACCACACACTGAGCATCTCGGGGCAAACTTCCTGGAGGGGAAGAGAACCGAGAAGGCCATCAAGCCCTGGCGTTGCAGGGCACCAACAATGGGACCCAGAGAAGGTGGGGCACTGGAGGGAATCAGAGGCCAGAGGCGTGGCCTTAGGTCTGGGGAAGGGATGATGTCAAGGAGAATGAGAGAGGCCGGGCGCAGTGGCTCTGGCCTGTAATCCCAGCACTTTGGGAGGCCAAGGCAGGAGGATCACTTGAGGCCAGGCTTTCAAGACCACCCTGGGCAACAGAGCAAGACCCTATCTTTATTAAAAAACAAAGAAGGCCAGGTGCAGTGGCTCATGCCTGCAATCCCTGCACTTTGGGAGGCTGAGGTAGGCAGATTGCTTGAGCCCAGGAGTTTGAGACTAGCCTGGCCAACATAATGAAACCCTGTCTCTACTAAAAATACAAAAAAAAAAAGCCTGGCTGGACATGGTGGCACGTGCCTGTAATCCCAGCTACTTGGGAGGCTGAGGCAGGAGAATCACTTGAACCCTGGAGGCAGAGGTTGCAGTGAGCTAAGATCATGCCACTACACTCCAGCCTTGGCAACAGACTGAGACTCCATGTCAAAAGAAACAAAAAATAAGAAAACTAGCCAGGCATGGTGGCATGTGCACCTGTAGTCCCAGCTACATGGGAGGCTGGGGCAGGAGGATCACTTGAGCCCAGGAGTTGGAGGCTGCAGTGAGCTATCATCACGCCACTGCACTCCAGCCTGAGCAACAGAGTGAGACTCTGTCTCTAAAAAATAATAATAACAAAGAATGAAGGAGGGCCAGGGGTTGGAAACAGGAAGAGACAGTCCTGGGGCATGAGAGATGAGATGAGACAGGAAAGGTCAGACATTGTGAGATGAGGTGGAGGCCGGGCCTGACCTGTGAAAGTCCTCGATGCAGTGGATCTGGCTGGTAGCATCCACTGTGAAGGGGATGCCATCGAGGCCGCGGTGACACACCACGCAGGTGAAGCAGCCAGGGTGGTAGGCCTTTCCCATAGCTCGCAGGATCCGGTCCAGGATGGGCTGGGAACACGTGGCACATTTCTCCAGGGTGGCCTGTTGGGAAGGAAAGCAGGAAAATCTGGCAGCCAGCGGGAGCCACGGCAGTCCACCAGGCACCCCAACAGCCCAGCCATCTATTTCTGGAGCCCCCTGCATGTGATTCTGAGTTCAGATTCTAGCACTACACAAAGTATTTAACCACTCTGAGAAAAGCAGCAATCGGGCCGGAGTGGCTCACGCCTGTAATGCCAGCACTTCGGGAGGTCAGAGTGGGCAGATTGCTTGAGGCCAGGAGTTCAAGAATAGCCTGGCCAACATGGCGAAACCCCGTCTCTACTAAAAATACAAAAATTAGCCAGGTGTGGTGGCAGGCACCTGTAATCCCAGCTACTCGGGAGGCTGAGGCACGAGAATCACTTGAACCAGGGGAGACAGAGCTTGCAATGAGCCGAGATAGCGCCACTGTACTCCAGCCTGGGCGAGAGAGCAAGACTCTGTTTCGAAAAAGGAAAACAGGAGTTGGTAGTAATACCTGCCTCGTGGGTGTGGTGGGAATCTAACACATTCTCTTTAACTGTAAGACGCCCCGCTCGTTAAGAGCTGCATCCTTCCCTCCAGCCACCAGTGTTGAGCTACTTGCTTGGTATTTGCAGAATTCCTTCCTGTTTGTACACCGCTTCCAGCGGCCCGGCTTCTAGCACGGTTCCTCCTCTGGGCTTGGATGTTCTAGCTCCCACCTTGGATGGAAGCCCCGGCCTCCAGCCACTGACTCCAGCCCCCCAACCCCAGCCACTCACCACATAGCAGCCCTCGCAATATGCCCTCCTCTCCACGGCGTAGAAATGCTGGCCCCGAAGCTGGGCCCGGCATGTAGAACACACAAAGCAGCCCACGTGAAAGACGCGATCGAGGGCCACAACCCCGGCCCCATCCCCGACCACATCTTCTCCACAGCCACCACACCGGCCTGAGGACAGGCAGAAACAATATCAGCTGTCCCTTCTGTCTCCCAGCCTCCCCTCCTGCTTTCCACCGGCCCCACAGCCTCAGCTCACCGAAGTACTCCCCGCTGGGCGGGTGGTTCATGTCGTGCACCAGCTTCTTGGTCAGCCTGTCCAGCTCATCCTCCGGAGGCTGGCTCAGGGACACCTGGAAGGTGGGAATCAGGGGTTTGGTCCTACTCTAGCTCCTGATGCTGTAATATAGGAGTCCTCAACCCCCAGGCTGGGGCCTGTTAGGAACCTGGCCACACAGCAGGAGGGGAGCAATGGGCAAGCAAAGCTCATCTGTATCTACAGCCGCTCCCAATCATCGCATTACTGCCCCAGCACCGCCTCCTGTCAGATCAGCAGCAGCATTAGATTCTCATAGGAAGCCTTCACGGAATCACATGTGCATTCAACGGCTCTAGGTTGCGTGTTCCTTATGAGATTCTAATGCCTGACGATCTGTCACTGTCTCCCGTCACCCCAAAATGGGATCATCTAGTTGCAGGAAAAGGAGCTCAGGGCTCACACTGATTCTGCATGATGGTGCGTTGTAGAATTGCTTCATTATATATTATAATTATATAATTTCATTATATATTATAATGAAACAATTATACATGTTATACATATTCTATTCTATTAGTGTTATCATAGAAATAAAGTGCACGATGAATGTAATGCGCTTGAATCATCCTGAAACCATCCCCCCTGCCCCAGTCTGTGGAAAAGCTATCCTCCATGAAACTGGTCCCTGGTGCCAAAAAGGCTGGGGACTGCTATATGTCCCTGAAGATGGCCAGGCAGTTCCAGCTAGAAAGCTCATTTGAGAACATCTCAGCCAAGGGGCCAGTTATTTTTTGTTTTTTGTCTGAGACGGAGTTTCGTTCCCTCTCGTCACTCAGGTTGGAGGGCAGTGGCACAATCTCAGCTCACGGCAACCTCTGCCTCCCAGGTTCAAGCAATAATCCTGCCTCAGCCTCCCTAGTAGCTGGGATTACAGGCATGAACCACCATGCCCAGCTAATTTTGTATTTTTGGTAGAGACAGAGTTTCTCCATGTTGCTCAGGCTGGTCTTAAACTCCCGACCTCACGTGACCCACCCGTCTTGGCCTCCCAAAGTGCTGGGATTACAGGCGTGAGCCACTGTGCCGGTTCCCCGTGGGCAGTTCATCCCTGCACCACCCCTCCCTGTATTTCCTGACCCGCTCCACATCCCAGACCTCTGACTGTGCTCCAAAACCAGCCCCCTGGCCAGGCACAGTGTCTCACGCCTGCAATCCCAGCACTTTGGGAGGCTGAGGCAATGGATCACCTGAGGTCAGGAGTCCGAGACCAGCTTGGCCAACATGGTGAAACTCCATCTCTACTAAAAATACAAAACTTTTCTGGGCATAGTGGCATGTGCCTGTAATCCCAGCTACTTGGAAGGCTGAAGCAGGAGACTCACTTGAACCTGGGAGGTGGAGGCTGCAGTGAGTCGAGATCACGGCACTGCACTCCAGCCTGGACAACAAGAGCAAAACTCCCTCTCAAAAAATAAAAAACCAGCGCCCTAGAACACCAACCTCCCCACTAATCAGTGTCCCATTGCCTGTAAGAGCTGACATCCCAGTTCCCCAGGGCTTACCTGGGGCCCGTGCTCGCCTCCTCTTGCTCCTCCTGCAGGGCCAGAGACCCCAGCAGCCTCCTCCTTGGCCCCCGGCCCCGGCTCTCTCTGGCTCCTATAGCCAGGTCCCCAGACTTCACCTCGGCCTGGGAGAGGAAAGTGGGGGCCTGGGAGGGGCCCAGAAGCCTGAGAGGTCCCCCGCCGGGGCGGGCCACAGCCCCTCACTGGCTGTGCCACCTTCACTTGCACGGGGAAGGCAGGGCCAGCTGGGGTACTGGCAGTAGCATAAGAGGCTGGAGTGGGGCCCCCATAGGGAGACGCTGGGAGCGGCGAGGCCAGGTTCGGCTTTAGGGAGCCTGTGCGGTAGGCAGGAGGTGGCGGGGGCTCATATGCCTAAGGAGAAATGCAGACCAGAAGCCTAAGCGAAGCCCCCACTCTGGGACCCACATTTGTGGAAATGACCCCGAGTGTGGGGCAGCACGGGTGTTTGCATTTGACAAGGTCCCGTCCTCAGGTGACTGACATGTTGATACTTGCAGCCACGCTTCCTCCATGCTGGGGTGCACAGCACACACATGACGGGGTAGACTGAGAAGCAGGAGGCTGCAGACGGGAAGGAGAGGCAGGACTGGGGAGTCACCTGTCGGTCTGGTCGTCGTGGCGTGTGACCCCGACCCCCATTCAGCTCAGCCAGCGTGCTGCTCAGCAAGTCTATCTCAGCGTCCAGGCTGCCGGGGCGCAGGGCACTCCTGTCTGCAGGGAGCCCCTGGGGTTGGAGCCAGAGCAGAGAGAATACAAATCGCCACGACCCCACTCCCGCCCTGGCTCTCTCACAGGCGGTTCTAGGGGACCCCGCACGTCCCACCCAGCAATCCCAGTTCTCACCTGCGTGCGCTGGGGTACTCCATGGGACCCCACCCAGGCCGGCCCCCGATCCTCTGGTGCCCCTGGGGCCTGGTAACACTGCTCTGATGGGAGGGGGCAAAAATTGCCCCTGGGGTGGGGCTGGAGTGCTGGGTTGAGGGAAGAGAGATCAAAGGTGGGGTGGCGGAGGACAGGAGGGGTGTGCATTTGGGGCGCTGCCCTCTCCGCCCCTCTTTACCTCTCCCCCGAATCTAAGGTCCCAAGAGATCTCGGGCAGCTGTTCCCATCGGCTTGGGGAAGGGGCAGGAGGAAGCCGGCAGGGCAGGAGGCTGGAGCTGGAGGACAGAGGTGAGCGCCATAGCGGGGTGGCTCCTGTCTCACGAGGGCTGCCTTACCTACTCCGTGGGCTGGTGGTGGCCCCGGGATGCCTCGGGGGATCGCCCTCCCCTGAGGGGCTCTGGTGGGCTCCGGCTGCTTCGGGGGCAGCCAGGTGGGCCCCGACATGGCCTAGAATGGGGAACTCCGGACAGCGGTCTTGAAGCCCAGAGCCTCGGGCCTTCACCCCCTCTTCCGTCCTGCCTCGTTCCGGACTCCAGAAAACTTTTCCTGGCTTTTTTTTCCTCTTCCTCCCTAATTTTGGGGGCGACCACGCCCCCGATGACGTCACCACATTCCTGGGGGAGGGTCACGTGGGCCCCCTAGGCCCTAAACTGCCATTTCTCTCTGAGTCGGCCCCCTCCCGCCGAGAGGGAAGGGCTCTCCGAAGGAGCCCGAGTCACTGGGGGCTGTGGGCAGCTGGGAATGGGAGGTGGGCGCCCAGGCCAGTCTCCAAGTCCACAGATGCCCCCTGGGCCCCGCGCCCCAGCCCTGCACATGGCAGCCTAGCTACGGGAAGCTGAAGGTCCTATCTCCACCCCTCTGCAGAGCTCTCCTTTCCCACCCCCTCCCTCTCACCTACCCACCAGCGCGGCTCAGCCAGCCTGTAGTGTTTTGGTCTTTTATTCATGGTCAGCAGAGTTAGAAAAATAAAACAGAATGAAAACATCACCACCCCAGTGGGCCACTGAGTCTGGCCAGGATGAGGAAACTGAGGTAGCCGAGAGTTCGGAGGGCCAGCCCCTAGCATCAAGGCACCAGTGAAGGGAGGCTGCGGACTCCCTCCCCTGCATGGTGGGGATGCCCGCCCGGAGTTACTGTGCTGGGGTCCCTCTGCCAAAGGAGGTGGGTGTGACACCCAAGCCCAGAACCCCCTCAAATCCTCCCCTGGGATCCAGGTCCCGAGGGGCAGGGCCACAGGACACAGTGCTTCCCTCCTCCTCTTCTAAGGTTCAGGATGGGCTGCCTGCCTGGGCCCTCTCTACCCAGCCCTGGAGGCAGGGGCATCAGAGATCAGTGCAGGTGACCGGGGTGACACCGTGAACCAGCAGTGTGGGGCCCAAGTCTCGGCTTAGAGTCTCCAGTAGCGCCAGGTAGCGGGGGTAGCGGGCAGGGTCGGCGGGCGGCCGAGGCAAGTACAGGAAGGTGAGGGCTGTGGTGGGGCCCTCGGCATCCCCACCCTCCGGCCCACCCGGCCCTCCTCCCGTGCCACGCCCCTGCTGGGCCCGAACCAGGGCGTTGGCGCTGCGTGCCAGGGCCTCTGCCTCCATGTCTCCCTGCCTACTGTTCACAAAGTCCCCTTCCTCCTCTGCCTCGGGTTCCCCAGCCTCAGCCCCCTCACCCCACACCACCTCCTGCACCTCAGCCCGGATCCGCAGTTGGCTCAGCAGCACCCGCAGCCGCCCCTCGGCCGCCCCAGGCGCCTCCTGAGGCCCCAGGCACAGGAAGATCCGGAGCCGGGCACTGTGCCAAGCAGGCACCATGCCCAAGATGGTTGCCATCTGCAGCAGGAAGAGGCCACAGACATCCACGTAGCCGGGCCCACCCCGGGGCCGCAGCAGGTTGAGGGGCCACACATCTACGTGGTGCAGCTGAGAGGTGCCCCCGGACCCCCGGCTCAGCCGCTCTGGAGGCAAGGCCCCACTGGCCCGGGCTAGCACCACATTCTTGTTCATCTTGAGGGCATCAGCCACCGTGGCCACATAGTCCTGGGGACTGAGAGCCCGGGGGCTCCCAGGAGCCCGGGGAGGAGGGAACAGTGTGCTGAGAGCCGGGGAACCACCCTCCCTGGTGCTGTCCACAGGCTCGGAGAAAGCCGGATCCGTCAAGAAATGGTCCTGTGGTGGGGCGTCATCGTAGAAACCCAGGACCAGCGTGTTGGGCTTCATGCCACCTGAGGGCAGAGAGGGGGAGGCAGGAACAGACAGGAGTCAGGCTCACAGGCTAAGTTTACATCACGCTCCCACACGCTGACAGCAGTATGTGTCAGCCATAAACTATGACATTCCCACTGTGTACAGGCTCTTACAGCAACATTCTGCACATTTGCATAATGACTTTTCATTTTTCCTAAACACTTTCACATGCACTTATTTTATTATCTCGGTGACTAATCTCCTCCACTTAAACAGACAAAGTTCGCATTAGGATGCTTGCCACGAATGAGCACTCCAATTCTATCGGGAGAGCAGGACACTGTCTGCACCCAGCTTCTAGCAGGGCAGATTTTCATGGTAGGAGATTCGAGTCAAACTCCGTCATTCAAACCAGACACCCTGATCAGACAAGTTCATGGCCTGAATCCCCGGGGGGAACAGCACCCCAGACCCTGCTAGGGGAAGATGAGAAAATGGACCGGGCCGGGCACGGTGGCTCACACCTGTAATCCCAGCATATTGGGAAGCTGAGGCACACAGATCACCCGAGGTCAGGAGTTTGAGACCAGCCTGGCCAAAAAGGTGAAACCCCATCTCTACTAAAAATACAAAAGTTAGGCTGGGCACGGTAGCTCACACCTGTAATCCCAGCACTTTTGGAGGTTGAGATGGGCAAATCACCTGAGGTCAGCAGTTTGAGACCAGCCTGACCAACATGGAGAAACCCCATCTCTACTAAAAATACAAAATTAACTGGGCATGGTGGCGCATGCCTGTAATCCCAGCTACTCAGGAGGCTGAGGCAGGAGAATTGCTTGAACCCAGGAGGCGGAGGTTGTGGTGAGCCGAGATCCCACCATTGCACTCCAGCCTGGGCAACTAAAGTGAAACTCCGTCTCAAAAAAAATTAAAATACAAAAATGAACAGGGCATTGTGGCGGGTACCTATGATCCCAGTTATACTCAAGAGGCTGAAATATGAGAATTGCCTGAACTCTGAAGGTGGAGGTTACAGTGAGGCGAGATCGCACCACTGTACTCCAGCCTGGACAACAGAGCGAGACTCCATCTCAATTAAAAAAAGGAAAAAAAATGAACCAGGGCTCCCTAGTATGTTTCTATTACTGCAAAACCCTAATCGTGGTGGTATAGCCTGGTATCCGCTTACCAGGGGCTGTGTCCTGTGGAAAGCACTTTGTATTTTAACTCATTTGAACCTTGAAGCAATGCTATGAGGTAGGTACTATTTAGTCTCCTCTTTTTACTGATAAGGAGCCCGAAGCACTAAGCGATGAAGTCACTCGCCCACAGGCTCACAGCTGGTAGGTACTGGGGCAGGTAGGTCAACACACGCTGCCTCCACCCAGCATGAGAGGCCACACTCTGAGACAACAAGCTGGGCATGTGCCAACCACAACGCCCCAAGTCCCTGCCAACAAGCTCCTGTTCCTTAATTTTTGAATGACCCATGTGGAATCAGGTAATTCCCCCCCTTGAACCAGGCTGACTTTACAGGGAGACTCAGAGACCTCTTCTAAGACCCCTTCTCATGAAACAAACATTGCTCAACCCATAAATCAAATTCTCTATGACAGGATAATCCACCATTTAAAGGAAATACTTTCCCTTTTATTGGAGTAGGTCGATGCAAAAGTAATTGCATTTTTTTCCCCATTAAAATGGCAAAAACAGGCCAGTGCGGTGGTTCATGCCTGTAATCCCAGCACTTTGGGAGGCTGAGGCAGGCGGATCACCTGAGGTCAGAAGTTTGAGACCAGCCTGGGCAACGTGGCAAAACCCCATCTCTACCAAAAATATACGAAAATTAGCCAGCGTGCTGGCGTGCACCTGCAGTCCCAGCTACTCAGGAGACGGAGATGGGAGAATCACTTAAACCTGGGAAGCAGAGGCTGCAGTGAGCTGAGATCAAACCACTGCACTCCGGCCTGGGTGACAAAGTGAGACCCTGTCCAAAAATAAGGGCAAAAACCACAACTGCTTTTGCACCGACCTAATATCTTCCACGGGATAAATTTCATGAGCATAGTGGTCTCTGCACAAAAGGTGAAGACAAGGCTCTCAGATGCTCTATGGGTCAGTGATGCTTGCCAACACCCTAAAACATCTCAGCAGGTATGAACTCCAGCTGATCTTGCGAAATAAACTAGTCACGCCCCCTCCTGAGTATCTCCCAGGGTCTGATTTTCACTGAACCGGGCAATGTCCAACACAGTTGAACTGCAGCCAGACTCTGAATAGAGAAGGAAGCAAGCGCTTTGGTGACAGGCGCTGGTCCACGATTAAAGGATAAGGCAGTGACTGAGCATGGATGACCCTGGCGGCCTCAGCACTAAAAGCTGAGAATTCACCGCTCCATCCGCAAGCGTCAGCCCCACACAGCCTCTGGCATCCTTGGTGGCTTGGGGGTGGGGGGCGGGGCATGTTACATCTACTTCCCAACCCCTTTCAAAGCCTGGCTGAATCACCATCTCTCCACAAAACCTTTGCTGGCTATATAGTGGCTGGCCTGCCTTCCTCTGAACGCTGGTGGCTAAAAACCATCTGGGGGCCGGGTGCAGTGGTTCACGTCTGTAATCCCAGCACTTTGGGAGGCCAAGGAGGACAGATCACCTGAGGTCGGGAGTTCAAGACCACCCTGACCAACATGGAGAAACCCCGTCTCTACTAAAAATATGAAATTGGCCAGGAGTGGTGGGACATGTCTGTAATCCCAGCCACTCAGGAGGCTGAGGCAGGAGAATTCCTTGGAGCTGGGAGGTAGAGATTTCGGTGAGCCGAGATCAAACCATTGCACTCCGGCCTGGGCAACAAGATCGAAACTCCGTCTCAAAAAAGAAAAAAACAAAACAACCATCTGATTTGCTGAGGCAGCTGGAGATTCAAATAATGCTCCATTGTCCCTCAGAATATACTCTTCAGTGCCTATGCCTCAATTTTGGGGTCAGAAAAAAAAGAAAGGCCAGACACAGTGGCAGATGCCTGTAATCCCAGCACTTTGGGAGGCCAAGGCGGGTGGATCACCTGAGGTCAGGAGCTCAAGACCAGCCTGGGCAACATGGTGAAACCTCACCTCTACTCAAAATACAAAAATTAGCTGGGCATGGTAGCACACAAGTGTAGCATACTCCCTACTCGGGAGCCTAAGACAGGAGAATCACTAGAACCCGGAAGGCGGAGGATGCAGTGAGCCGAGATCGCACCACTACACCACTCCAGCCTGGGCAAGAAAAAGTGAGACTCCGTCTCAAAAAAAAAAGGGAAGGAAAAAAACCGCAATGGCATCGCCCACCCCATTGCTAGTCCCCAGCATCTCCTAGGAGACCTTATCGCACACTGTCTGCGGCTATTATCTTTGAGACTGTCTTATCTGCTCTCCACTATAAGGTCCTTTTGCAGTTTGCAATCTGTGGCTGACTCTCTAGGGGAGGGGCGCGGGGATTTGAAGTAGCCACAGGGGAAGGCTGAGGGCATCCAGGGAGGAGCATCTCACCGAGGCCCGAGATTCGCAGCAGATGCTGAGCCCCCTGGCGCACGGAGGGTGAGAGGGTTAGATCCACAAAAGCCTTCACCTGGGCCCGGTCCACCAGGCTCAGCCATGCCCCATACTGAGGCTGTACTGGGTCCGAGGGCAGGGAGTCTACACAGAAGATAAGGAAAGGAA